GTGCCACCACCAAATGCTCACCCTGGCTGCTGTTTCATTTCTGCAGCTTTAGGTCCTTACTTAGAAACCTTGCATCCATCTTTCTGGCTTCAGCTCTGTAATGACACTACATACTGAAAGTAATAAAGACTGACCATTCATTTGTGTTCATCTCTCTCAGGCAGTTTTTTTGGGCATGGCAGGCACATGAAATACAGTGTATATAACATATCACTTGTCACTTCCATCTGGCTTTTTTGGAAAAGAAATGAAATTTCTGGTACATGAAAAAGGCTGCTGCTTATGGACTAAGCTCATGTTAGTAGCCCAGCTTCACACTCCTCTGCCATTATCACTATATCCAAAAGCAAGAAGTGCAGAAAGCTGAGGTGCAAAACTCTCTTCACACTACTGGCATGCTGGCTTCAAGGACAGTCATGACATACACAGATAAGGCACATGTAAGGCAGCATATAAATTCTCTCTCACTATTTGATTTCTACTGGATGCCATTCTTCATTAACTTCAGTAATGTTACTCCTCAGATAGTTGGATGCTACATAAGAAAGATTATGTCTTAGATAATAAATATGTATTTATTCAACAGCTATTTTTAGCTTTTTAACCTTAAATATTAAGGAAAAAAGTTTACAAATGCTCGAGAAATTAGCTTTGGAACAAAGCAAAATTGAAATTTAATTATTTTGACTATTTAATAAATTCTCTCTATGAAAACCTGTGCAAACAAATTTGTGCCATTCAGATTTCATTATATTTTTTGTTTATTGATTTATTGATATGTTAGTTAACATGCATTTTCTTATGCCTGTAAAATGTTGATGAGTATAGAAAGAAATATTATTCTCTAATTTCCATAGATCTTATTAGGAGTTGAAGTTAAGGATTTCTGAGATTAACCCTTTCTTGTTCAGCTAGTCTTATCCCTTATTTCTTATCTCAGTGCTGGAACTCTTAAAATTCCCTTTTCATGCTGTCCACATGTCCACAAAACATGACCTGACATTAAAGGAGTATTCCCATCGTATTGCCTGATGCAAAGCTTTAGAGCTTCATATAAAGACCTTTCCATGTAAACAAATATAAAGTACCTTTTCAAGGCTTGTATTGCAAAAAAAAAAAAACCAAAAAAACTTGACTTCTTGACCTGTTTAGTAGCAGGAAGGGACATTCTCCTTGCACCAAGTGTTAATGCAGCTCTGTCAAGCACTCGATGACCCTGAGACTTATGGTTTCAGTTCTGTACAAAGCTGCAGTCAGCTGGAGCTTCTTCATTTGCCATTTTTGAACAAACTCAATGTTGTAACTCCTGCCCTGTGGAAAATGATGTCAGTGAGACCAGGATCAGACCTCTGTATTAGAATAGACTTGGACAACACAGGTGAAAGATGGAGGAAAGAAAATTAGAAACTTATTTCCTTTTTTTTTTTTTTGATAGCTCAGTCAAATCTGATTATTTTAATCATTATTTAGCATAATTTCACCAATTTTGAGCTGCTTTGGTATTTGTACATGTGCTGTTTTTCCAAGAACGATAAATTCTAATTGCCCTTGCATAGGGGATCTGACATAAACTGTTTCCAGCTTCAAATCAGACTTGGCAGCTGGTATATACACTCCAAATTTCTATCCCTTCTGGGGGATAAGGGGAGATATAAGCTCCCTAATCAGTGCTCTGAGAGATGTCCCTGCCCTGCCAACATCAAAAGCCAAAAACGTCCTTCAGCCAAAATGTCATCATTGTCAACTGGCTGTCTCTGCATCTTCCTATATTGCTGTGCTTGATAAAATTTGTAACAGTAAGTTATGTAAGCTCCCACTTTAGTAAAACTAAGAAACCTGAAAATAAAGGATTTGTTCATTAGGTTTTTAAGATCCCTGTCTAGAAGGCAATAAACTTCCTGTTTCTTCAAAGAAAGTTGTTTTGGCTGGCCCAAAATGGCAGAAGAACTCAGTGTACAATGAACAGAAGGAGACTGCCAGTCTGAATTCTTGGGTCGTAAGAACTATGCCAGCTTGACAGTCTGTGTTATCCTCTGCTCCTCACTGCACTTGTGTTTCTCTCCCTTTCCCAGGTAGAGGAAATGAATTAGGGGGAGGAGTGAATGTTTTATGTGGGAATGTAGTGAAAATAAGAGTATCACATAAAATTTCAAAAGAGTAAATTGCCACCAGTGTTATATTCTCCTCTTTCGAGCATTGCAAAGTATTAAAGAGACCATTTAAAAAAGGTATTTTTTTCCAAGGAAGAAAGAAAAGGACAAAAGATAGGAAATACTGTGTTAGTGTCTGTGACTGTTATGCATTCTGTAAATCTTCAAGGAGTTTGAGTTAAAAATGGAGGCTTTTATTTCCTTCCCTCGGAACAATGGAAAAATCTTATGCCATTCTGGCAAACCTGTATGAGATAAAAGCAAGAAAGAAATAAAAGAATTTAACTTCCTTGAGTACTTGGGTCAATTTGGGGACTCTAATTTTTATTATATAATAGAGGAGGAAAATATATATATCTTGTAATATAAATATTTTAGTTCTTCCTTCCTTCCTTCCTTCCTTCCTTCCTTCCTTCCTTCCTTCCTTCCTTCCTTCCTTCCTTCCTTCCTTCCTTCCTTCCAAATTTCATGCTACAAGGCAAAGTAAAAAGTGAGGGCAATAGGTTTCCTTCTATGTTCCAGTGACATACGGAAATAAGCCTTACTGTTTATCCTTCTTATATCCTGCTGAAACAAATCTTTGTTAATTCTCTGTTTGAAATAGAATGCAATGTGTGTCCTCATAATGGGCCATATCCTGCTATCAATATTTTAACAGATCCCCCATGGACTGTAACGTGGAGTCCATTAAAAAATTGATGGCACCATTATGCTCAACTGCAAGTATATTTATAATTAAATTATTTTTCTTTGATTTCATTCAAATTTCTGTCATTAAAGTGCTCTGGTCAAACTAATTAATTGTAAACACATTGTGTTTTGTTTATGTTGGTAATGTTTGCTTCAGTCTGAATACCTGTCAGAATTATTCGTGCTTTCCTGCTATGGATTAGCACACAAAAATTCAACAGCTTAGTATGGATTCCAAAGACAAATTACATCAAAAGTAATTTGCTCTGATTATAGGAAGCAATTGTTATAACTAAGTATAATATATGTACAAGTTGAGTCTTCTCGAATAAAGCTGCATAAAAGAAAGGAAGGTAGTATAGAAATTGCAAAACAGTAAACTTCATGAAATAGAAGAATTTATGAAAAATTTCTATTTTTGACCTCCTGACTTCCATCAAGCTTCAGAGAACTGGGAAATAAAGTATATGAAATTTCAGCAAACATAATAGAATCTCCACTGAAGAAGTATGTACTTTAGAAAATAATTCTCCATGCCATTTAAACAAACAAATTTATTGTAAAATACATACTGCAACTTATTCAAGGGGCAAGACTTTCTAAAATAAGAGAGAGATTATGGTTCTGGGTTGTATTACATTGGACTAAGCCTTCTAGCTGCTGTTTTCCTGTATTAGCTGCCTGAATTTCCTATTTCTGAGTATTTCCTACCACTGAGATAAAGAATTAATGAATTGTTAGCTGAATTTGAGCCTGTTCTGTTTTTCTTTATGTTGTCTTTGTTTCTCTTGGTAGCTTTTTGAGGTTTTCTTTCCTTCCTTTCCTTTAGTGCTTTGCAGCTCTTGGAATAATTTTAATTTACTCATTTCAGAAACCACCTGGAAAATAAGTCTTGGTAACTATCAATGCACAAGATGATCAAAAGCTTTATGAATATGATACTTTTAATTTTTTTCATCATGTGTTCTAGATAAAATTTAATTTTTTAGACTTTCACACTGCATAAATACATATATAAATCTGTTTCAATTTTTTGAGTGTTCAGAAACAGTATATCATTAGAGTAGATGCATAAATATATAAATAGGGTTTATACATACCTTTTTAAGGACCTATTTTGGAATAGCTAGATTCTTATGTTTCTGTCTGAAAGTTTTTTCAGCCCCTAACAAAAAGCAGGACAAGCCAACTGAGCAAAATAGAAGAATAAGAAGAACATCACCCTTCTGCAGTCTTTTACAGAATATGGAAAGTTTTGGGCTAGACCCTCTAAAATACTGAGTATCTCTCACACAAACAATAGTGGAATGGAGCATTCTAGATAACTTGATTTTAAGCAGAAAATCTCTTCTTTCCACAAAGTTTCTGACAGGAATGGAAAATGGCAGTTTATGAATTATGTTTTATTGTAATCAGAATGGAAAACTGCTCCATCACAGACTCCTTTCTTTAAGATATTTAAACTGGACCTTGATATCCCATCTTGGGTGCAGCAGGAGAACACACAGAATTCCTTTTTATGCTGCAGTGCATTCAAATCATTATTCAGTAAATATTGCTGGAAGGATCTGTTTAGTGGCAACATTCAGTTTTGGTATTCTTCATCCATAATGTGACAATCTATGTATACAAATCCATTAAGCATGTGTTTTGCCAGGGTCCTTACTCCAAAATCAGATTTAACTTTTCTATGGAAATTAGCCTACTAATTTATGAGTGAACAGGAGGCAAGCAAAATTCTTCTCATCTGTATTTCTCAGCAGTAAATCAAAATAAACATACAAGTTTAGGAACTGTTTCTCTTGCTTTTTGCAGTTCTGTAGGACCAGTGTTTTCTGAGTTAGTTGCTCCATTAATTCTTTGGTCTTGCAAACCAGGGAAGACACACAGAAGCTTCAAATGGTTTCATATTTATGTATAGAGTTTATAAATATCTGTATATTTGCTTATGTATAAAAAATTATCTAACCCATTTAGGCCAGGTTATAAATGAACCCTGTTTTCAACAAATTAAAGGATCCAATATCCCATAGTAGATGAAGGCTATCTCTTTTTACAACTGCACAAATGTCAGCTGCCCAAAATGGGCAGAATGACTAAAGGATAATTCTCTGTTCCCCACCCTGGTGCATGAGAAATGCTGCAGTGTGGGTGGTGTACTCTTGCCATGTATTTTTGAGCCACCAGTATGAGACATACCACTCAAAAGATTACAAAAATATTTGCATCGATGTCTTTTTATGGAGGTGTTATCTTTATATAGCTCTTTCAGTCTGCTGCTTGGTGTAGACCTGCAATATGAGAAAATATCTTGAAAAAGCTAAGAAAAAAAAAAGAAAAAAAAAAAACTCTACCAAAAGTAAATGTACACAACAGAGTGAGGATGAACATGCCCAGTCTGGTTTGTTTATAATTACTTTCAGCAGATCTGCTTACAAGTGCTATATGCTGATATGTCTCATTGATAAGACACCACAGTAAGAAACAGAATATGCAGGATTTTTCGTAACAGAGGAAAACTTTTCATAAAATGGAGGATGATTTTTCATAAAAGAGGATTGAACTTAGCATTGTCCCATTTGCATCTTTACAGCTTAAAGATGAACTTGGTGTATATGCTGTGACACAGTGTTAAGTCAACAGATAAAAAAAAAATAATTGTAGTTTCAAGTCTGATGCACCAGTGTTTGTTATTGTTGATACACAGATTTTTTACATGTGTAAATTTTGCATTAACATCATAAAATTGATTGAGGATGATCTTTAATGCTATTTAGGAACATTTAGGAGCATTATACATTTCACATAAACTATTAGACTTCCTATCTTTAGTAAAAGCAGTAAGTTTCTGGAATAAAGCTGATCCTACTAGCTGTATGATGCTAAACCATACTTCAGTATCATTTGTATGAGTCATAATTACAGTTGCAGTTGAATCCAAACACCTGCCTTAGCTGATTACAGTAAAAAAATCAACAAATAAGCATAGCTTCAAAGGAATAAAATAAAACCTACCAAATCCCTATGACTGCTCCAGCAAAGCTGTGGAAAACAGATTAGAAAAGAGGTCAGTGAGATATGTTGTGAGGCAGACAATATAATGTTCCTTTTGTATTACATGATAGAGCAGAGAAGCTTTAAAGCATGAGTTTTAAACTGGTAGTTGAGCTGGTATTGAATTGTCCTTGGCTGGAGTAACACCAAGAAAACAGGTTTTGCATCTCTCCTGGTCCTCTATCCCAAATATGTCCAGGTTGACATAGCCTACAATCTTCTGATGCCATCATGTAGACACCACATAGAGTTAGAAGGGGGCACAAAGAAAGCATCCAAATTTCCTCCTGAGATTTATTTTTGTCTGTTTAAATCAAAATGACATGCTTCAGATGTAGATGAAGTAGAAAGAATCGTATTAACCATTCTTGTAATTGTTATAAGAGAATTAACACTAGTGTTATCTAGCACGCAATGTTAATTTATTGATAGCAGTACATTTATCTTTTAATGCACCAGTCTAGCAAACACTGTGGATTTTATCATGACAGTACTTTTTTTTTAAGAATCTGATGCAGATTCTGCATATCAATCATGTCTTAAATTGTCAGCTCTTATTCTAAACTTAACATTCAAGCAACATAGCAAAACCACCTTTGTTCTGAACTCAGTGGGATGTGAAATGCCAGCATAGTAGAAAAATACCATTTCTTCACATAGAAAGAGACCATCAGACCATCAAAGATGTCAGGATTAATATGAAATGGGCTGTCAGAAGTACTATCTGCTCTGAAAAAGCAGATAAACAGATTTCAAAATGGGAGTTAAATGCTTTTTCTTTTAAAGTATTAAAGACCAACTATAAGTTCATTTCTATGTCAGGAGTAAAAACTATGCCATCTGGTATGACAGGGATGTTTTCAGGCTCTAGTTACAGTGAGTGCAGTTTGCTCTGCTGAAGACTGTCTAAATTGCACATTGCAGTACAATGTAGAATTTCCAGAGTTACATATAAAAGGGGGACCTTGAATACTGGCAGGAATAAAGCCACATTAGTTAAGATTTCTGCTAGGATTAATACATACTGCTTTTCATCATATGGTTTGTGTATTAAAATTCCAATTGGATTATCTTCAATGGAAATGTTGCTATAGTGCTTCTAGTTTCCAGTCTAGTGCCAGCATGACTCTGTGCTGGGACATCCTGAACCTGATTTCATAGCCAAAATTAATGCATATCATCCTGTTGAGTATGTGTTACTCCAGTTATGTAAGAGTCAATTTACGTACACAGTAGTAATCTGAAGAAGGCACAAATCCAGACTGAGGATGTTGCAGATGAATTGCCAAGGCACCATCTCATGGGAACTATTAGCCTTTCCTGCTCACAAGGAAAAAAATGTGTGAAAAGCACACTTTTGTGCTTCCAAAGATATTGAAAAACGAGTGTAAAGCCATCAGAACATTTGGCAGGCTGGAACACATAATGTGAAAAGCTGATAGACTTTAATTTTTTCAGTCTGGAGAAGAGGAGGCTTATGAGGGTCTCACTGGTTTCTTTATTATTTCATGCAAGTCTATACAAATGATGCAGCCAGAATTTTCACAGTGCAGACTGCAAAAGGTGTCAAGAGAGCAGAAATAAACTTCATAAAGGTTATAAAACACAAGATAGTGAAAAGAAAATGCTCTTCACAGTGAGTGTGGTCAAAAGTTTCAAATTAGATGTGATCATCTATGGGAGTATATCCCATCTGCATATTTTTTATGTAAACTATGTGAACAGTTGCTATAGTGTCTCAATTTCATTAACAGACTTTCTTATACCAGAATGTAAAGATGAATTAGTAAAATGCCCCATAAGCATCACTAGCAGCTGAAAAATAACTATGTATGTCATGAGTATTTAGAATTATACTAAAAACACAACCATGTTTTAATACAAATATATGTGTTTTTTTGGTTTTCCTAAGGATGATTTGATTTGAAAAAAAAATACTGTCTAAACAGAAAGTGTTGTAAGTAATTTCTTTTGAAAATTCAGGGTTTTGGTACAATGTATTTATCCACAAATTGGTTTGAAAGCTTTTTTTTGTTTTTTAAGTAGTCATAGAGCCAAAATCTGCATTCAGCGTGAAGCATGTGGCTACAATGGAGTCAGCATATATGAAGTAATTTAAAGTTTATAAACTTATAATGTTACAATTTGGTTCAAACTTTTTAGCACTTTTGCCTATTTTTTTTTTCAACATATAATCTCAACACAAAGCTTTATTCTAACTGCTTTTTTGATGCATTTTGCAGAGCAGCTGACTGGTGCTCAGCATGTAACAGTAATGAGTGGCTGACTTTGCAGTAAGAGCAGCAACCATTGTTTTTTGAGATAAAAGGCCCCTTGGGCTCAGCCTTGCAAAGTGCACAGTATTCTGACTTCAGTTCTGCCAACTTGGGCAACACATACATCATACTAAACATTTGAGTCAGCTCCCAAAAATAATGAGGTTGCACTTGCATTCAAAGACAAACACACACTAAACCGTCTCTCTGAGCACAGCACACACCATCCCAGAGTTCAGACTTTCTACCTTATCTGATTATGCATGAGCATCAACTTGTCAGCTGCTCTAGTAAACCATAGTTTTACTCTTAGCAGAATGGCTGACAGCAGCTTGGGAAATTTATAATACGTGTCGAGAATTTGTGTTATTGTTTGCTAAGAGAATGAAAGTGGTCATACCCACAGCTGATACTGATGTGCAAGCATGACCAATTGTCTGTATTGTAGATTCATACAGCACTGATCAAGTCAGAGGGTGTTTCCCCGCAGGTTAACAGCTAGCTGATAGTCCAAACCCATTTACAGTTATAGTGAGAATGATAAGTTTGATAGTGTTGCAGTCGTAATGCTAGGACCAGTGTTTTCTATTTTCACATCTATATATATACAGAGCAACACTTGAAAACAGAAATTCTGTGGTTGAATACTCTCTCACAGCCAAAGAGCAAAGACTGCTGTCCAGTGAAGTTGCAGTCATATCCTTCTTACCTGGAAAAAATATATACATATATGCAAGCCATGATTTTTGCTGCTTTTACAGAGCTGTAACTTGTTTTACATCGGTTTTATCTTTTATTTAGGACATGCACGACTGCATCAGACAAAACAGACTACTTGGGCTAAAGTAACATAAGATCTTTTACTGTCATATTACTTGCTGCTCTTATTGCAAGTTTTAAAAGTGAACCACATCGTTACTTTTCATCAGTTTATTTTATAAACCAACCTCAACTTCACATACAATGAACCATGCAAAGCCTGTTTTTTTTGTCAGTTTCCAACAGGCAGTGCAAAGATTTAGAATATTTTACTGGCATTACTGAAGTCTGTGTAGCTGATGAGAAATAGATGACGTGAGTTGTTGCAGTACAGGGTGACTTTCTGTCCTACCCTGCAGGGGCCGGCCGGATGTCCTGCAGTAAGGGTGAGGGTTGCTGTGCACACTCCTCCTTTAGCACATTGGCCAGGGCATGCCTCCTGAGGGCACATTATAAATGTGTTTTCAAATTTGAAGAGCATGGTGATGAATTAGGATATACACTACAGAAGAGGGTGCTGACTCTAAGTTAGCAAGTCACAGACCTTCGCTGCTGACTCCACCATCCATTAAGAAAATGCTTGATCTCTCTCTCTCTCCTCTGACATTTAAGAGTACACTGTGGGAAAGAGAACTTCCAATTGAAATTCAAGCCAAGTAAAACAGAAGAGAAAAATGCATTCTGTGAACTGAAAAACTGGGTTAGAGGTTTGCGTAGATGGAAGGGGTTCCAAGGGTCAAACTTTTGAAATCCTTCATACAGTTTGACAAATAACTAAAAATAACAATGAACTTTAAACTTCCATTTTACTTTTTCAACTTTTGCAGTTCTGGTACAGCTTTGGATATTTACCACTGTTTAAAATAAATAATGTGTCCATATAATGATTAAAAAGAGATTAAAACAAACTCCCAACAACACACCTTAAGTCATTTGGTTAAGAAAGCAGTGTACTTACTTATTTCAATGTAATATACATGTATTTTTGAACATTTTAATATCCCCAAGTATATTTCTGTGCCTATAGCTATATAAATAGCTGATAATATAATAGCTATATAATAATATATATTAACTAATAAATACATTAAATATTTAGCTAATAATAGCTAAATAGCTATCTAATATCTATTCTAGGCTATTGCTGTGTCTGTTAACAGAATTTCAGAACAATTATAGAATATCACCAAATTAGCTGGAATACATACACTGAGGTGTCTGAGACAAGCTACTTAATAAATCTGTAGGAAATTTCATGGTGATTGCTAAAAATCTGCAAGGGGAAACACTATAGCACATTTGCAGCAATGAGACATATTGAATGATGTACTCTCAGAATATTTTTTCTTGTGGTTCACAGCTTTTATTTACATTGACTAATTGTGCAGCAGGCCTCAGATATAGCAAAATGAAAAAAAAAAAAATATTGGCAGATCCCTTGGTCATATTGCTAATAGATCACATGCACAAGCATTAAGAAATAGTACTTCTATGATTATCTTAGTTTACTTATATACTGAATTTAAAATAGAAAAATATGGCTGGATAGGAATTCTGAATCTACTAGTGTTCATTTAGGGTTGCAAGTTCAAGGGCAGTTCTTGGGTCTTATTCTTTATTTGCAAAGAAGTGTTGGACCAAATGACCCTTGAGGTATCTTCCAACCTGGTATTCTGTTTCTATCATATAATTTTCTATCAGTATATCAGAATACCCCTGGCCTTGAAATGAACCGGTCTTTGTTTACACTGACAGCTATGACTGACCTGAATCTTCCTCAAATCCATATTCAAGACCATTAACATAGGAACTCCTCCACAGTGCTCCTGGGAAAACCTGTGGTATCAGGTAATCAACATTCCTATTTGTCAAATTTTTAAAATGTATGTGTTAGACTTTGCTGAAGTGCAGGATGTTTTTAAGTATTAACATAACAGTTCAGTCTTGTAGCACTTCTCAAAGCTGTTTTAAGTGGACACAACTCAAAGGAAAAGGATCCACTCACCCTCAGACTGATCACTGAGAGAGTCTCACCATGAGAGTTTAACCAGATCACAAAGAGGATGAGGAGACTGGAGCACATCTCTCAGGAGGAAACCTGAGGGAGCTGGGTCTGTTCAGCCTTGAGAGGAGATGCTTGAAGAAGAGGGGATCTTATCAAGGCATACAAATACTTTGAGGGCAGGTATTCAGAGACTGGGGCCAGACTCTTTCCAGGGGTGCCTAGTGACAGGATAAGGGGTGATGAGCACAAACTGAAACACAGGAAGTTCCATCTAAAAATGAGCAAAAGAACTCTTTTCTTTGAAGGTGACAGCAATGGAGCAGGCTGCCCAGCGGGGCTGTGGAATCTTCTTCCGTGGACATGCTCAAACACCATTTGGATGCAATCCTGTACAACCTGGTGAACCTGCTTTAGCAGGACAGTTGGACTAGATTATCTTGAGAGGTCTTTTCCATCTCACCCATTCTGTGACTCACTGAGAAAGGACAAATGCAAAATAAAGTCTTTGCATGAAGAAAAAATGCAAGAAAACCTTTGTCTAAGCAAAGAAAAATTTATGTTCACACAAATTTCCATTCGGTCAGGTACACAAACAATGCAACTTAAAATAATTTAAAATAGTATTAACCAGCTAAAAATAATACTTCTTAACAAAATCCAGAGAAAACAGCATTGAAAATGTACTCAGAAAGACTACTTTCTCTGTCCTTTTTAATTTTTCATCAGGAATATCAACACACTGCATTTCTTTTCATAATGTTTGACTTGAATTGGAATACTGTTTTTCATTTGACTGTCTCCAAATGTTTTACATTTGTCACTTCAATACTTTCAGAGGTGAGGGAGAGGTCTGCAATGGTGCCACAGATATCTTGTTATGGAAGAAAATGACTCATTTATTTCCTCTATATTGGCATTCTTGGTTGAAATACTGCCTTCAATAAAGCTAGGGCAAACTACTCTCTGCCTGAGCATCAGAGTGCACAGGAGTCAGCACAGCTGACTGTGAGTCTTGGAAGAAGAAAACACTTTGATTTTAGTACACCTGGGCTGCTCAGGGGCTATAGCTAAGTCTCATCATCTTTGGTACAGACAAAATGTGTCTATGGCAGCAGTAACTTGGTGCATGATCACATCACCTGTCAAATCCAGGAAATAGCTGGGAGGGAGCATACAGAGTTCTCTGTTGCCGTGGCTACTGCACTGCCATCCTCTAAAACCAGTGTCAGTATTTTGGTCTTTTGTTCATGTCTGCAGTGGAATAAACCTGAAAATAATAACAAAAAGTAAATTTAATTTCACCTGCTTGTTGTACTCTGGATTATGGGAAGTTACAAAATCACAATTTTTCTTAAAAAAGAAAAATCTCCGTGCAAGGCACTAAAATGCCAGAGTTGATTTACACTTTTGTTTAAATTGTATATATTGTTCATTCAAGATTTGCAAACATTATTTCTTGATTACAACTGGATTTTTCACTTGCAGCTCTTCAAACATGACACGATTAAATATAAAAGGAGTAGCATTCAACCCACATAACAATAATTCTAATCTAACAAAGTGCTAAGTAAACTTTATTAGTCCTTTTGACAGACCAAGTGAGACTATCCAGAAGCTTTCTTAAGATCCTATGTAGTAGAGCCTATTAAGGAAAGAATTTACTGAAGCTGATATAGCAATAGTTAGTCAGAGAGGGATATAGAGACTTATTAGTGACATAAAATGAGAAAATGTAAAACTATCCACATGATTATAAAAACATGATTGAAGAACTGCCTTTTAGGTTGTTTCTGAAGTATTAGGCTTAAACAGTTCCTAGACACATGGCAGGAAAGCAACTGTGGGAATATAAATTTTTATTAATTATACAGAATAGCTGTCATGATTGGTCTGCATATATTGTAGCTAATTGATTGTTATATTCCAAATCTTGAGGGCTAGCTAAGGGAGCAAACTCTATGACCAGGACACAGAGACAAGGGGCCTGTGCAACAGTGTTCTGCCTTCCTGGGAGCACTGTGAAGTTGGAACAATCCCTCTCCTTCTGCAACAGGATACTGCAGTGTAGTCAATATATTATTAACTGGTTTTATCTTTTGTAAACATTAGAAATAGTCTGATAATTTACATTTTTATAAGTCAGAGTAAAAAAAATGCAACTTTCTAAGAAAAAAAACCCTCAAAATGTGTTCTGGACCTGGTCTGTAATCTGCCTAATTTGCTGCTTTTTCACTATCTCTTAAAGTATTAAAACTCAATAAGATTGGATTCTATTGGGTAAAATCCTGGGGAACTGTGATTTTAGAGTATTATGAGCATACAAAAAAAGAGCTCAGAATAAAACAAAGTACCAGCCATATAATTTACTTGTTGAGCTATTTAGGGAAATAAAGATATATCGTATCATAGGAGAAACTCAAGTCTGGTGGTCACACTGGAGGATATCAGATATTTAAATAACTTCTAAACCTTTTTGGAAAATTTTCTGAAATTTTCTGCTCATTCTTTCTGAAACTGAGATTTTTTTCAAACTAAGTTCCTACTTCCTAGGGCTATGGTCTCAGTAAAAATGAATAAAATGGGGTAGTAACCAGCTGAGAACTTCCACAAGCCTGCTGGTATTTTAAGTAAGTGAGGGGAATACACAAGAAAATACACTAAGAGCAATTAAAAATTTACACTTTCAGACAAGTTCATGTCCTTTGCTGCTTTAACATCTAAGTCTAGCACTAAAACTTGAATTTCCTACCCCATCTATAGTACAAAGCATGTCGGTATGAATAGTTTCAGGAAAAAAAAAGAAATCGACTCATGGAGTCAGGTTTTGCTTAGCCTCTGACAGAGTTGTGCAGTGCATATGTCACTGTAAACTTGTCTCAAGACAGTTCCAAGTATGGTTTAGGGAATTTAAAATAACTATAGTTGAATCAAAGAGCTTTGATAGCAACTATTATGACACATTATTTCAGTGAAAAAAGAAATGTGAGAATTGGGGAAAGATTTTCACAATAATTAGATGTAATAATAGAAATATCTGGCACAACAACATAGCATTCTAATTTCCCTGCAGTTATTTTTGCACTTCAGCACCCCCCAACCCAGCAGAAAATGGGGAGATCCAAAAGCAAGCAGTTTGCCTCCTCAAAGGCATGGATGTAAAACTGGCTGGTTTATACCTGCAGCTGTGAGACTGCTTCATTCCTGGAGCACAGTTCAAAGTACTGTGCAAGGCACCAGGGCAAAGATTGTTGAGACTAAATCCAGCCCCCCAGCAAGGGCTGTCAACTCTTTCATGTAAAAATGACATTGACTTTCCTGTGGAAATGAGGATCCTACCTGTGAATGAGGATCAAATATGAGAGACTTACTTTCTGTTTCCAGTTATTGATCAAATATATGTGGAAATTTGAATCCAATCTGTATTTGCTACTAATAATTAATATTTCCTACTAAGTTAAAATATAACACCTTCAGTCTAGCAAAACTGCTATTCAGGGATAGCAAATTCACTTTTAATATATAAATATATTATATTGACTGGAGTTTCATTCCAAAACCACAAATCCTGGATAACTTCACCTGATAGCAAAGCATACCATCACACAAGCAATGAGTAAGTAAAAGGTCCCAGTGAGATAGAGGTGCATAGTATTTGGAATGGCTAAGAACATAAAAAATTACCAACTTGTGTGGGAAAAAATTAGGGTTCCCATAGTACCATTTTTTCCCATTTTGTTCACACAAGATATAGGAATTTTATTTACAGAAATGAGTTTGAGGTGAGATCTACAAAGAAACTTTATGAAATGCATTTGGTAGCTTTGGAAAGATGAGGCTCATCAGTGACTGGTACAGGGTGGAACCTGCCTGGAATTGTTGGGCACTGCCAGCATTACAGTGATCCTATTCCAGAGAATAAGCATGGGAAATGGGATAAGGGGAATAGAACTAATACTGCTTCCACTGCCTGAGCAAACATCCTTACTGAAGCTCATAGCAGAAGGCACATAAAATAACTTTGATGATCAGTCTATATATATTTATCTATGACATTTCTCTGTCAGAGTATCAAATGATTATACTAAACAAAACTGTGAGTGGTATCTATTTTCACACCTATATTAAGAATATGTAGCAATGCATGCCAGGATTTCTCAGTTTTCATTTATTGTTTTGACATCAGCAAGTAAAAGTGGGCGTCTTACACCACCATATGACAAACAGCAGATGATATTGCATGGTCACTGTGGAAACTGCATTTCTGAAAAAGAGGTTCATATTTGCACTTTTTAAATTAAGATAAACCACAGCATTTTTTCCAGCCTGCCTATTGTAATTTTGCTGCCACATTGCCAGAATTACAAATAAAATGAAGGTGCAAAAAATAGCTGGGATTCTTTTATTTTCTTTTTTTTTTGTTCTGAAGTCAGTAATATAATTCAAAGTTTAAAAACTATAATATTCTACATGAAAGAAACAGACTTTTGAGCAAGAAGGTGACAGTTCACTGATCTTGGTAAAAATACATTAAGGACAACAGAAAGCACTCACTGGTTTTGATGGGAAATGGTCACCTGATATAGGAAGTAGATTCAAAAATACACATTTTCCTTCACTTGTGATGTACTAGGTATTGATTGAGTAGTGGTGTTGAGAGACAGTGAAAAAGGCTGAAAGTGTAGTTATGGAAGAGGTTGTTCACCATACAGCAAAGTTCAGTAGCTTTGTAAGAAAGGCACAGCACTGAAATAGAAAATATTCCCAATGAGCAATACAGACTCCATAACGGCCAAGGAAGTGTTAGGAGGCTGCTGTAGATTTAAATAATCCTCTCCTATTTACTTTCAAAATGATTGCAGAGGAGAGGTGTCAGTTCAGTTGACAGAGACTGAAGGAAGTCTCTCTCCATAGGTGGTGCCTTGGTGAAATTCCGGGGTGGATGGGCATGGCCAGGTTTTTTTATAAATCAGCTGCTGCCAGCTGTGGTTGCATAGGTATGGAGTGTTTCTGTCACTGCATGGGACTGGGCTGCTTGACATGGGGTTGTGGTGATTCAGTGATGCAGCTCCACTTCAAAGAACGGAAAAGGCAGATATGAGTAATACACTTGGAAGAGGATGTATGCAGAGCAGACTGCAATTACATTTCAGCCATGTGATGTGACCATCTCCACTGTGGCCAGGTGCTTTGTCCCTCCTTTGGTGAGTCTTTTATCACACTGAGTCAGATAAGGCCAAAGCCCTGTTGTACGGAATGTGCATCTACACTATTGAATGTGATGCTGAGCTGGTAGAAAGAAGAAAGTGGCATCACTGGGATGTGTCTCTTTGGCAGGGCAGTCTCTGAGAAGCAGGGTCACTTCTTCAGTGGTGCAGTAATGCATGCCTCCAGCGTGTCAAGAAACAGCTCCTTGCAGTGATGCAGGGTCACATATATGTGCACTGAGGAATTTTTAGAGTCAAAGCATGTAGCTCTGCAATCACTTTGATGCTTGTCCAGTGCAGGAGGAAATATGTTCTTATTTATGTACTGAGATTTCTTTTATGCTGCACATAGATTGCTGTTGTTCCTCAAAGAAAAAAAAAGAACAACACAATGAAGAAACAAACAAGGCAAAACAAAACAAAAAAACCAAACCAAAAACAAAACAAAAAAATCCAGAACAAGAACAAAAAATTCCCAACCGACCAACAAATCAAACAAACAAACAAACAAAAATAAAAAGAAAAGAAAAGAAAAGAAAAGAAAAGAAAAGAAAAGAAAAGAAAAGAAAAGAGAAAACATAAGAAAACATATGATGGATTCTTCATATCTTCAGAACTTGCTATAAATTCTTTAGTGTTATTTTGTGGCAGAACTGTTTTACAATCTTTCATTAAAGAAATCTGTGTGAAAAGTGGTACCACAAGGTTTCAGGCAAATATTAGTACTATAGAAGTAATTTTTAAAAATTTTTTAATTACTGCACTGAATATCTGTCATTTTGAAAAAATAAAAAAAATGCAGTAATGTGAGTTTCCTATCAGTAGAGATGTTATGGCAACTGCCTGGTGACCATCAATTCAACATTTAATTTGGATGTGACTGTCCTTTTTTTGCAAGCAGTTTATGTCTTAAAATCTGTTTGACAGAACAAACCAACAAAGACCAAAAAAGAAGCATTACCCTTATTTCAACTCTTAATAATGGTATGATGAATTAGAAGATGTGAAGATATTTAAGTCTTTAATTCAACAAATGATGCACCCACCACTGCATTTTAAATGTTAAGCAGTAGCTCTGAAAATGGCCTTTCATTAAGATAGTGCTTTACTTAGTAAATATTTGATGTGTGCCATCTTTTATGGAGTATCTCACTGTAAATTTCTTTTGCTTCATGTGCCATAAGGCTAAATAGCCTTAAAAGTAATTTGAAACATACCTCTGCTATCCCAGACTTGCTTAAGATTTACCTTGCCAAGTAAAGAGCATTCTGGAATGTAGCAGGTAACAAAGATCTGCAGCAAATTCAGGACAGACCAGACATCTTAAATTTTTAATGAGTGACACAGGGCCCATAAGCATTAGATAATAAAACATAGGTATAGGAGAGTTGGTCTGAAGTGGAACTAGAAATGTAAATTCTCTCTAAGTATAATATTCTGACAACTTGCTCAATCCCTCAAGCCCATTGCAGATTATTTTTTACTTTGAGATCTTTGCAGACACAGCCATGCTACAATAGTCCAGATTTATCTGTTTTTAGCTGAAAAAAAGGGTTATCACCTGCTACAAGACACATATGTCTTGTAGCAGGTGATAACCCTTTTTTTCATAGGCAGGAGCTAGACAAGAAAGTTGATCTAGTATCATATCATCCTGAATCCAGAGGAATTCCAATTCCAATTTTCCTCTTTGCATTAGAAGACTATTCCCACAAGTTATAACCTCTGTTATTCTGAGACAGATGCTTTTTCCCTGGTTGAACTAAGCCACAGTGCAGGAAACTCCATTGGATCAGAGTGTCCCAAGATGAAAGCTGTTTTACATTATGCAGTAGAGTAATGTGGACTGCTCCAAGTGCAAAGGCCAGTAATTTATGCTGGGCTGTGTTATATTCACAATTCATGGCCACAGTTACCGTAACTTTATTTCTGGTCCTGGGCTGATTTTTTTTTTTTTTTAATTTTTGAGATTTGCAAATCCTGATCTGTTTCAGTACAAAAATGTGCTGACATTGCTTGCAGGCTACATTCACTCAGACCAGAGTAATAGGTAGCTATTTGTTAAACCTTTTTATAGAATAGTTTTTAAGGTTTTGTGTGCACTGGACATGTTAATGGCAGGCAAATTTGATCTCTGGTTTGTATCATGTACAGTAGGCTGCTCTATTATGACTGTAGTATAGCTGTGCCTATGCAACTGTGGTTGTGTCCTGTTTAGGCTGTGAACATTCTGCTTTTGCTTGTGGACATATTGATTCACTCTGAGTCATTCCTTCTCCTGTCAGAGTTGCCAGCAGTGATCATTACTCTGAAAACAAACAGAACTGGGTTCAAGGCTGACACATTTTATTCTCTGGTTTCTGAGGCAGGCAATCAAATATGAGAAGATATATGCCAGCCCTCTCTGATTCTCCTGGGGAAAGTTTGGCCACTTACACCACAAAGGCATTTTGAATGCTGATCCTTGCTAATACACTCCCAAAGGAGCCCAGAGCTGTAAGAAGGACAGGAGGCATAAACCAGGCTATTGTAAGATACACACTTTTGTGATTCCTCTTAAGCTGATGGTTTTATGAGTCTTTAAACCAATTAAGGTAGATTTCTTTCCTAGCAGAACTCTGACTGGAGGACTGTCCCATTCCTTTGCTACTGAAAATGGTAAGAAACTTTTGTCTTATTTCCTGAAGTTATGCAGAGCCTGAAGTTATGCAGATCAAGGTTTGGCTTTTTAAATTTTCTCTGCTGTTAATATAATTCTCATATAACTGGTAGTTCTTTTCTTCCCTGGTATTACATAAGACACATCAGGAAGTATATCTGAAAATAGCACTCAGTTTTTGTTGTGTAAAGTTAAGTAAACCAATCTAATATATGCCTCTCTGGACATTGTACCCCATTTCATCACTAATTCAGACACCAAGTTTGCATACATGCTGTAACTAAAATTTCATCAGTCTCAAAAATGTGTTTTAATCTTGATGCATTAAAGAGCTGGTTCCTTCCATATCTTTGCTATTTCACAAGCTTGTTCTCACATCCATCATATGCCAAACTCGCTGATTATGCAGCCATCCACAAACTGTTGTGCTCAGGCACATATGGAACACTAGCTCAAGCTCCAGTATATACATAATAGCCTTTCATATTCACTGCCAAATATCAGTATAAATAAAACATCCAGGGTTTTATCATTCTACATAACAAGCATAATTTTAGGCTTGCAGAAGTAAATGTTAGGATTAAAAGCAGCACACTTGAGACCTATGTTGTTGAATTTCACTCTGAATTTGTTAATTTACCTCACTCAGGCTGCCTGACTGATATCAGGTAGACCTGCCACTTCAAAAAAATCTTCAGATTTTGTCTTGTTCCATGAATCTCTTTTAATCATTACTTAATATCTTACCATTCAGATTCAGTTATTAGGTTTCACTTAAAAAAAAA